CACCGAAAGTGAAGGACGTCTGGCAGATATCATGACTGTACATACACACCTGTCCGCCGCGGCCTTTTCCACACACATTCATGAAACGCTGAGCAAAGCGAGCTCCCAGCCTAAAATACCCTCTTAGGGCTTTGCCGGTTTAGCTCTGTGTGACAGCCCTTCCTGTATTCATCACAGGGTTTCCACATCTGAAATACATGTCAGGACAGCTTTTTCCTGTAATCATATTTTAAAATCTAATTCAGGAGTGTTTAACTTGACTTGTTGAAGGTTTCTTTTTGAGTTCCCCAAACAGCTTGCTCTCAAGCTCCTGGAAATCACTGGCTTAATACCGCGCTCAGTGCGGACCTGCCCTGTGTGCTCGGAGGTCCCTCCCTGACTGCAGTGGAGGGAGAGGTCTCTCCTGGGGAAGATTTTTCTGTTCCGGTTCGGTCCTTGCTACTTTAGGGTGTCTGTTGGAACAGAGCCTGGAAGGAAGCCCTCTAATGGCATCATTACTGAGACTCCGTTCCGCTCAAGCTGTCCCTGAATTCCATTTGCAGTGAGGGCCCACTCTCCCAGGAAGTGCAGTCTTAGGATGCAGGGTGCACAATAAAGACTGGCACATGTCCTGTCTGTATTGCACCGGGGACCAGTTTGAGACATCAGTAGGTGATTGCCTATTTCCCCAACTGGAAATGAGATGGAAAGTAGGAATCCATGAGTTTGGAATCTAGCCTCCCTTAGAGAAAGCACAAGCACCTGTTGGCCTAGTACATTTGACCTTCTCCCCTGACCTGGGCTGGACCCCAAAGCTGGCCAGGGTCAGAGCAGCACCTGTGAGAGCTGTGGGACCACCATGGAGAGATGAAGACACCACTGACTGTCTGCCTCGCCCTCGTCACCAAGCACTCAATTGGAGAACTGAGGCTTTTTGCATTTTTTTGTAAAAGGGTCAGTAATGCTCTCCTTGGCAGCACATATACTAAAATTGGGATGCTACGGAGAAGATTAGCATGGCCCGTGCGCAAGGATGACACACAAACTCATGAAGCGTTCAATATCTATAATAATAAAAGCATAATATGCAAATCGACCAGCAGAACGACCGTCCAGATGACCTTCCGGATGACCATGCTATGACACGCACTTGGCCAGGCCAGCCAAGGTGGGTGCGATGCGATTGGTCAGGGGCCCTGTCATCGCCCCACAATCGCCCTGCAGAGGGAGGCCCAGGCGCTGTGGCGGGTGTGCAGGGCCTGCCAGCGATCATCCCACAGAGGGAGGCCCAGGCCAGCCAAGTGATTGCACCCCGCGCCTGTCACCCGCAGAGGGAGGCGACTGGTGGCAGGGGAGGGGTGGAGCAGCCCTGTACAAAAGGCAAGCAGTGGTGGGGGCGGGGCCAGCTGCCAGCAGCTGAGGTGGGGGAAGGAAAGTCCCCATAGGCCCCGATCGCCGGCCAGGCCTAGGGACCCTACCCGAGGGGTCCTGGATTGGGAGAGGATGCAGGCCAGGCTGAGGGACACCCCCACCCCCTTGTGCACAAATTTCATGCACCAGGCCTCGAGTTTTAAAAGAAAGGTCAGTAGCTTTATTTCATAAAGAGGTCTGTGATGCAAAAAAACCCCATAAAAACCAAAAGACCAAAGGGGAGGAAAACCCAAAAGAGGGTGGGGTGGGGGAAGTAAGACAAACTTTACTAGGCTGTCAGCCAAGAAAGGCAGGGACTACAACTGTCTTCCCAGCCTTAAGTGCCTGGCACAGAGCCAGGCTCCAGTAGGCACTCAATAAAGATTTGTTGAATAACAGATGGTATTGTATTTTCATAACAGTCCTATAAAGTGTGTATTGGTTTGTACATTTTAATGAGATGAGAAAACTGAGCTCAGAGAGGTTGAATGACTTGCCTTTGGTCACACAGCTGGAACATGGCAGGCCTGTGACTCAGACCTCGTTATGTGTAAGCCACGGGCCACGTGCCTTCAGGAGTCTAAAACAGAGGGAGTGGTAGGGACACGTACATCTTCTCGCTCGCTTGCTTGCTCTCTTCAACACAGTCACTCCCAGTTGCTTTGTATTTTTGTTTTGTTTTTTTGCTGTTATATTGTTAACTAAATTTTTTTAAGTTTTGACATAATTTCAGAATTACAGAGAAGTTTGCAACGAGTATAAATAATTCTCAGACCCTTTTCGCATGTCTGTAGAGGTATATTCTTGGAAAATCTTGTGAGCCGTTTTAACATGAGATCGGGCCACACTGCATAGGGATTTCCAGATATCTGTGAGGTAGGGTGTGTCCCTTTGAGAATGTTTACGGGTGTGTGTGTGTGTGTGTGTGTGTGTGTGTGTGTGTGTGTGTGGAAAAACAGCCATGTGACCCCACCCAGGAACTAAAGCTAACCCAAGAGCAGCCCTCAAGGGCTTGCTGGATGAAAACATGAGAGAAGAGTCTAGGGTTTATAATTTTGCATGGAAGAACTCCCCGTCTTCCATGGGGAATATAAAAGTGGCTTATGAAAAAGACGACTTCAGCTTCCCAATCGGACACCCTCAGGCGTGGCATCATACCTCCCAGCTGCCAAGAACAACAAGCGATGGTTTCCCAGACAGCTGCGCCCCATGCCATTTCCTCTCCTCGCTGCCGCAATTAAAGATTAATGTTTATACTGTTTTATCTGGTCCACGCCCTCCACACAGGTTGTTCTTAACCCTCTCCTTGCTTTCACTCTTGGTACCCCTGTACCCACCTTCTCGCTTTGGTTTCCAGGGTTCCTCTTTCTTCCTGCTAAGACAGGTGCATTCCCAAAGGCGTTGCATTTGGAGGAGGGCATGTGTGGGTTCTTCCTTGTCTGAGAGGAAGGGGGTCTTCTTTAAGGGGGAAACAGTTTGAAAGTTTCCCAAATCAGGAGTTTCTCTCCAGTTCTGACATTAAAGAAACCAGTGTCCGCTGCTGGCTTTAAGTTTCCTTGGAAATACTCATTGAAGCTTCTGGAAAGTTATTTTAATATACACCCTTTCTTTTTTTCCCTAACCAGTGACACCAAAAAATAAGATTGCTTTGGGGTTTCACATTGGCAGATAGAATGCTCCCAGGGGAATTCGAGGCCGGCCCTGAAACGAGGGGAGGACCATTCTGCCTTGGTATTTGTTAGCCAACGCGGGCCGCCAGGAGAGTGCTGACACTGAGAAGTTCCTGAGATAGTTTATAGTCAGCACACCCCTCTCAGGGTCTAGAACAGGGGTGGGCAAACTTTTTGACTCGAGGGCCACAGTGGGTTCTTAAACTGGACCGGAGGGCCGGAACAAAAGCATGGATGGAGTGTTTGTGTGAACTAATATAAATTCAAAGTAAACATCATTACATAAAAGGGTACGGTCCATTTTTTTTTTTTTTATTTTTATTCATTTCAAACGGGCCGGATCCGGCCCGAGGGCCGTAGTTTGCCCACGGCTGGTCTAGAATCAAAGCACCTGAACGGATCAGGAGCCATTTTACGTCTTAACAGCATCTGTGCAAGTTTGGCTCTAGCCCATCCATGTGTGATCCGTGTGCGTGATCCGTGTGTGTGGAACTCTAGCTCCCAGGGAGCGGTGGGACAAGTGCCTGCTAGGGTAGTCTCCAGCGTGAGGACGGTGTGGTGGATTCAGCTGGGACAGCGGCCCCTCTTCAAAGGTTTAACTGGGGGGATAAATCATTCACTTTTAAGTGCTCTTCCTCTTTTTGTCTGGGAGGTTGCTAGGTCCCTTCATCTTGTCTGAGTTGCTACTCTGGTTCGGATGTGATTATGCAGCTTTTAAGTTTACAAACACCCACGTGGGAACAGTGGCACCTGTTCGGGCCGTGGAAACAGCACAGAGGACCTGGATTAAAATTGAGCATGGTCTGTTAACTAGTTGGGTTACCCCAGACAAGCCACTTGACTTCTGTAAGTCTCAGTGTCCCTGTCTGTAACGCGGGGGTGCTACTTAGTTCTTTGTCAGGAGGATCAAATGAGGACACCCTGTGGAAGTACTTAGTGTTTCAGTAAACGTTTGGAGTTACTCTGGGATCCGGCTTCAGATAAGTTCCATCACTTCCACAGAATAGTTAAGTTCCTATTGGCAGGTTAATTTACTTCTTAGAACTTGATCTCATCCGGAAACTGCAATAATAACACCTACCTGGTTAACTTGTTGGGAAACTGGAATAATAACACCTACGTGGTTAAATAATAACACCTACTTGGTTAAACAAGTCAGATGCCCGATATACCTGGCTTCAAGGGGTCACAAGAGCTCGGCCAACTGCGATCACATGGTAGCCTTTGCATGATGTCATACTAGTACCCTGGCTGAGCTCTTTGAGACAATAAACGACTAGTGAATTCTTCAACAGGGATAAGAGTATTTAACTGGTATTGTCCCTGCAGAGAGTGAGTGGGGAGGTAAGGGTAGGGATGAGAGTGGGTGGGTAGGGGAAGTCTGGCTACTTGTATCTTGACATGAGGATTTGTTTGGAAAATAAATTTCCTTCTGGTAATTGTATATAATGTGACAGGTTGGTGATTAATGCCAACTTTTATTAACTATTGTACAATATTGTAAAGCTGTAAGATCATAAAGGTCATAAAACTTGCTAAAGAGAAGATTTTGATATGTCTTTAAATAGTGTTTAAAATTGAAATAGGCAATCTAGCAGGTACTTTTAGGGAATGGTGTTTTTGCAGAAGGGAAAATTAGCAAAGACAGTTTTGCAAAACAATATTTGATGAAGTGTTGCTTTTAGCTGCTGACAAATTAGTTTTTGATATATCCCTCAGGAAGACTGAAGGAATGAGAACCGTAGTTGGTGGGTAAGAGTTTGAAAGTGAGAGGGGAAGAAAGTGTTAGAGAGAGAGAGAGAGAGAGAGAGAGAGAGAGAGTGTGTTTCAAGGTAAAGTGCCCCACAGTTGGTCATAATGGTCTCATGTGTCAAGAATTCTGACTTATCTGCATTTTTTTCTCTGATTGCTCATGTGTGGCATGGCTTGTTTTTCTTCTAGGATGTGGAGAAAGAGAAGGAAACCCACAATTACCTCAGCAAAGAGGAAATCCAAGAGAAAATTCATAAATACAATTTAGCAGTCACAGACAAGTTGAAGATGACCTTGGTAAGCACCCCTGATACACTTTAGGTTGACAGAGGTAAAAAACAAGTATGAGTTGTTGCTGTTACAATCCATCTGTTTGTTTTAAAGCAGTGGTTCTCAACCTTCCTAATGCCGACCCTTTAATACAGTTCCTCATGTTGTGGTGACTCCCAATTTCATTGTTACAAATTGAACATAATTAAAGCATAGTGATTAATCACAAAAACAATATGTAATTATATATGTGTTTTCCGATGGTCTTAGGCGACCCCTGTGAAAGGGTCGTTTGACCCCCAAAGGGGTCACGACCGACAGGTTGAGAACCGCTGTTTTAAAGTCTCTGAGTCACAGTTGCAGAAGGTTAATGGTCCAGGTATGTAGAACAGGAAATGTTTCCGCGTCTTTCAAATTATTGTGAAGTAGCTTTATCTCAAAATCAGTTAAATGAAGTTAAATTTTATTTTAAAAGATTTTGTGCCCTCCAAAGGACTTATAGCAGTGAGTGTAATCTTTGCCTGTTTAACATATAGGCGGTAACTCAGATTCTAATGAGGCCCTACATACGTTTATCTTGTGTAAATAAATTTGGAAGTTTCAGGAAAAGGGTTTGTGCCAATGGATTGGAATCTAATTGAGCTCAGACTTTTCACAGCTGGTTGTCGAGAATATGATGAGGTATGTAGTATCCGCTCCCTGTGTGTTGTCGATTCAAGCTCCTGCAACAGTGTGCCTACACTCTGTGGAGCTCGGAGGGGAGCACAGGGGAGCACAGGGCTTGGAGAGGAAAGGAGCTCTGACTACCAAGCTGGAGTATTCCTGCTCCTTTAACTTGGACTGGCATCTATACCCCTCTGCTCCCCCCACCCCACTTGGGGACTTTCCTCGCGGCACCTGCCATCCCTTGGTGCCAGTTTCCGGGGCCCTTGGACCCCTGCCTCTCAGTCTATTGACTGAGCTGTCAAGAGTTCAGCAAAGGACAGGGTGACCTGTTTAGAACAGGCCCTACTGAGTTCTGTGACCCCAGGGGAGGAGCTTTTAAATATAAACCCTTGTGATAAAAGATCCCTCCCTAGTGGGACTCTGCCAAAAAGGAGAGAGGGGCAGATGAACTCAAGGCTACTCTTCATCACTCCCGCAGTGATGTTCTCCTTTTTCAAACAGTTCTCATCCAAGTAGATAAATTCCACCCCCCCACCTTCTGTGGAGTAATTAAAACAAGCAAATTTCCATGTTTCAAGATGAAAATTTTGAGTGTTGTATACTACTTTCCACAAGACTGAACAAGTGAATTAGTGTTGTAAAGTGATCCTGTGGAAAGGAAGAAAAATAATCCTATATAATAAAACCCTAATATGCAAATCGACTGAATGGTGGAACGACTAGTCGCTATGATGAACACTGACCACCAGGGGACAGACGCTCAACACAGGAGCTGCCCCCTGGTGTGCTCCCACAGGGGGAGCGTCACTCAGCCAGAAGCTGGGCTCATGGCTGGTGAGTGCAGTGGCGGTGGCGGGAGCCTCTCCCACCTCCACTGCAGGCCGGGCTGAGGGAACCTTCTTCCCCCCACCCCCCCCCACCCCCAAGTGCATGAATGTCGTGCACCAGACCTCTAGTGGGCCAAAAAGGAGTTTTTTAATGTCCTACTTTAACTGTGTCATTTATATGTAACACCTGATAATTTATTTAAATAAAACATTACAATAAATTTTTCAAAAAATATGCTGAATGTAAAATAGAAAGTGAAAACAAGACCGTTATTACCATTTTTGGCAATTAAAAAATAGTAATTCTACCATAAGTTAAGATAGGTGCTAAAACTCCTATCAAATTATGTATATTAAACATATGCAGGTTTTTTTTTATAAAAGTTATAACCTCACTATAGCTAGTAAAAATATATGTATATATAGAAGGAGACATAAATACCATCTTAAATTAAAAAAAAGACAAGTGCTTATATTATATCTGTAGTTCACACTATAGCTTGGATTTATTTTAAAAATATTGTTGCTTGAGGTGCCTGAAGCCCATCGCATACCCTGTACTCCACGGGATGTACTTGTGTAAGAGTTTCAGTGAAATTGCTAACCTAGTGCATGTCTAACAGCCAGGAGGATGGAGAAGAGCTTGTTTCCTTACTGCCTGCTCCTTGTTGACTTAGGTATTTCAAAGCCCTGCTTGTGACCTTCCTTTTCTGTGTAATAGCTGGTCATCAGTTACAGATGTCGTCCTTAGTGCATTAGCCCCTAGACCTGTGCCCCGGGCCTTACTGAGCCCTGTGGTTCGGCCAGCTTCCGCTCCAGGGGCTGTACCCTCGCCAGGGCCCGTGCAGCTTCAGAGGCGCGGGTCTGGGCTTCAGTCGGCACTGTGTCAGGAGGCGTCTCCTCCCCACATCTGCCCTGCAGACCTTGCCTCTGGAAGCACTTAGTTGGGGTTGTACCCTCCCCCAGAGGTCATGCACATAGGAGTGATCTCTAGTGAAGTTTGGCCACAGAGCTGTACGCGGCAAGAACAAGTGCGGGAGTGTTGCGCCTTCCTTGTTTTGTTTGGATCTGACCCTTCCCTCAAGTGCCGCCATCCGCGAAGCTAAGAGCGCGCTTTTCTTCCCGCTTCAGAATCCGAATGGGACTTACACTGGCTTCATCAAGGTGCAGATGGAGCTCTGCAAGCCCCCGCAGGCGTCTCCGAGCACCGGAAGGCCCGCTCCCGGCAACAGCGGCTGCATGAACACTCTTCACATCAGCAGCACCACGACCGTGGGGGAAGTGATCGAGGCCCTGCTCAAAAAGTTCCTCGTGACCGAGAGCCCTGCCAAGTTTGCACTTTATAAGCGTTGTTACCGGGAAGATCAAGGTACGTGGCCACGCGTAGGATGAACGTGGTCTCTGCTTTTATTTATGTCTCCTGTGCTCATTGGCAGAAGGAGGGCTAGTGGGTGTGGCCGGCAGTTACGTCAGAGCCGGGCAGGTTCTAGAGGACCTGTGGTCATGGCCTGGGCTTATGCTTGCTGGCTGTCCGTAGTTTTGAGCTGGACAGTGTGCACCTCAAGAGCTCAGGCATCATGTGTGATGAGCATTCATGTGCAGGGAGATGGCTTTGATTTCCTTTGGTAACTTTGATTTTAATGCTCTTTAGGACAAAAAGCATGCCCCGTGCTTGAAGTCTGCAGTAGCACATCCCATATGAGATGTGCAGCTGAACAGGGAGTGGCCTGGTGGACTTGTGTTCTGAGACCCTGAGGCTGGGGAGGCCCGTGTGTCTGACGGCACATCCAGACTCGTGCATGGCCAGCCGAGCTCTTCTCTCCCTGGCTTGCCTCTCTAGCCATTACACTGGGGCATTTTGGCACCCAGTCCCCCAGAGGCACTTACAATCTGAACTTAATACCCACATTCAGTGGATAGAAGGAGAATATTAAATTTCTGTGTGAAATGGAATAAGATATTCCAGGTCAGGTTCTCAGGCAGAAATTGATACCAGTCGTGGACAACAGTGATTGAGTGATTGACTTAAGTAATTAATTTGAAAATGGTGTCTGAGAACTCAGCTACTTATTTATTTTTATTTAAAAGACTTTTAATATATATTTTTATTGATTTCAGAGAGGAAGGGAGAGGAAGAGAGAGAGATAGAAACATCATTGATGAGAGAGAATCACCGATCGCCTGCCTCCTACACACCCCACACTGGGGATTGGGCCCACAACCCGGGCATGTGCCCTGACTGGGAATCGAACCGTGACCTCCTGGTTCATAGGTCACTGCTCAACCACTGAGCCATGCCCATCAGGCAGAACTCAACCATTTATGTTCTCTAGTTTTTCTGGGGAAAAGCCTAAAGCAGCTCTAGAAAAAGATAATACTAACACGATAGGAATGCCCTCAGTTGGATGAGGATGGAACCTGGCTAGTTGCTGAGTGTGTGCACATTTTTGGAATACATGCCATGCATGGGCTGGGCCCTGCAGAATACAGGTATGAATGGACTGAGGTTCCCATCCTCAAGGCCACAGGCTCAGTGAGGGGGGGCGGGGGGGGGCAAGTTCACTTCTGTAGGGAAATGAGCACCTACAGTGCAGTTGTACCCGAAGTGCCAAAGGAATGTAGATAAGCTCAGATGGCATTTTTACCTTGCCAGCTTATTTGCTGGCTCACCTGGACTTCAGCTGTGCAGTCCTGTTGAGATATTACCTTCATGGCTGCAAATCTTTTAACATTACAGGCAATGCCAGTACTGTGTGTGTGTGTGTGTGTGTGTGTGTGTGTGTGTGTGTGTGTGAGAGAGAGAGAGAGAGAGAGAGAGAGAGAGAGAGAGAGAGAGATATGAGGCATATAGCTGTGCTTAAAGTCACCTGAGCTCATATTCTGACTCTGTTTGTGGTTGCAAATTAAATTAATCTGCAGAGAGATTTTCTGAAGCTCTGACTTCATGTTCTTTGGATGGTTTATGTTTATTGTTTTTAAAGGGGTTGCAGATCCTTTTAAAAGAAGTTTCTTATCTTGCTTTCTAAAGGGAGGAGCAGAATTAATTATTGGCCCATTTGGGGGAGGATTACCCATTTAAATTCATTCTTGAAAATTATTTCCTTTTTGATCAAGGCACAGTTTATATTGTGCAGCTACAAAGAAAATAGTATAGCTTTCATCCCACTGTGGGCTATTGGTAATAAGATGAGGAGGATGTGATTTGGGGCTGTTGCCTTGACCTGGGGGAGGGGTGGGGAGGGCTGGGGAGGGGTGTGTGGCCCAGGGGATGATGCAGTGCTCCACCGTGACTTGCTCCTGTTTCCTCACCCAGTCTACGCCTGCAAGCTCTCAGACCGGGAGCATCCACTGTACCTGCGCTTGGCAGCAGGGCCCAGAACAGACACACTTAGTTTTGTTCTCCGTGAACATGAAATTGGAGAGGTAAGTACATGACTGCTTTAAACTGTACACACCAGCTGGTCCTGTTTTATTGCTCTAGTCTAGTGGGTTTACCATTGGAAGAGGGAGGGGTGTCCTGCGGAGGGCAGCTTCCTGTGTGTTTTTGAATCGTTAGAAATGAACCCAAAGTTAGTCTACACTATACTTCTTTACAACACTCATTATATTGGCCTGTAGTTTTCAGAGGTGGAGGAAATAAAGTTTTAACTTGATCCCCACCCGAAGAGGCATTCTCGCCCCCTCCACCTCTGAATTCCTCTAATCCAGCTCAACTTTGAAAGTTGACACTCTCCATATGTTCGCTACTAACAAAGTCTCCAGGCTAATTCACTCCAAAGGGAATTCAATCTCTTTACAAGGAAAGACATTTAACTTTGTAGAATCTTTTTTTCCCCTTGGCCCAGATGATGAAGAAATTATGTTTATGTATGTACCATCATTTGCCATTTTCTCTCCAGGGAGGATTGTATTTAGGCCAGTCAGTTGAAGGAGAAAGCACTTTGGACTGTCCTTCTAGATCAAGTGTCACCTTTAAAAGGACACTTGAGCAAGTCTCTCAGGCTCTAGGTCCCAGTCTTTTGTCTGCAACAGGAAATGGTATGACCTGTCCAATTAGTGATACAGCGAGAATGGGGTTTCTGGGTTAAAAAGTTAGGGAACCAGGACTCCACCTCTGTTAGATTAGGAGCACGACCTTGGATAAGTTTGATCTTTTCAGTTCTCAGTTTTAACATCTGAGAAGTGGGACTAAGGACTTTAAAAGGTGGTTTTAAGTTTCAAATTAGAAACGTATGTAAATATGCTTTGTAAATAGTATGTTTATGTCCATGTGAATTGGAACTTTATTTGGGCACTTTTGAAGTTTCTTTTGATTCTGATGTTCTGAAGTTTTAAACTTCGCTGTCATTTTGGGGAGAAAACTGGGTGTGGCTTTGGTTGACACGTGGCAGCGTGTCCTCTGTGAGCGGACATGTCAGCCTTGTCTTGCTAGTGTCTTGTTTTCCTGGCTATTGGCCTTGACATATTGCACATAGTGGTGCAATTAGAGCCACATTTATTGGCGGGGAGGGAGTTAGGGTTTTGAAATTTACATTGTGTTTTAACGCTCTGAATTGCTTTATTAGACTTCTGAATGGTGTTCTTATTTCTCAGTGTTTTAAGGTTAGCTAAACTGAGGGAAGAAATCCATAGCTGTCAGGAAGAGGGAGGAGCTTATTTTATTTTGGAGAACATGCGGGAAAAGTAAAATGTTAATTTTTACAACTTAACAGAATATTCCAGTGTAGAAAGTTTTACTCTCCTGTTCCATGTTTCTCATTTTCTTTCATAATGATCTCCATCTCTGGACCTTCTGTCATGGAGCCACTGGGTGGTTTCACTCTGTCCCCCTCTGTTCACCGTATTGGATTCTCTCCAGGCTTTTCCCTGCCCCACACCCCGCGGCAGAGATCGCAGCCAGGACCCAGGGCCCCCTTTCGGGAGGGGAGGATGTCCGGTTTGAAAAGTCCTCCCAGGTGATGCCAGATACCCTTCTTGATATTTACTGTTCTACTGAAAAAATGAAAAACAGCCCCACAAACACTTATTTTGTGCCTTCTAAGTACCCAGTGCTTTTAGGGAAGCAGAACTCAGAGCCTCGAGGGCAAGAGACAAAGCCCAAATAGTGAGAAGCATGACAGCTTGGTGTAGGTGAGAGGAATACTCAGCAAATGATTATAATAATTTTTATATCTTTTTTGATCAGGGTTACCAGTGCTCAGTGAGAGCTTTCTAATAGACTTAGTCCTGGGTGGAAAGGGAGGGAGGAAATCATGGAAGGCTTCTTAGAGAAAGTGGCATTTAAGCCGAGACTTGATGGTTGAGTAGGAGTTCGCCAGGCAAAGTGGAGGAAGGGAAAACATGTGCCAAGCCACTTGGGGTAGTAAGTGAGGGGGACAGTGTGAGAGAGGTTAGGGTCTTTCACACTGAGCGGAAGCAACCGAGGGAAGCCATTGAGTGATTCCCAGGAGGGAATGATTTCCATTGAATGTTTGTGGACCATGGTCGACGGGGGTAACTGAAGCCATGGACAGGCATCACGGATAGGGGCGGGACCTCTGCGTTCAGGCTGGCTATTTGGGAGCAGGTTGGGGAGCGTGGAGTGGAGTGAGGAGGCCAGGGAAGGAGATGACGGTGGCCGGCACAAGGGGCGGTTGAGATGGAGAAAGCGCGCAGATGGGAGCACTGTTTGGGAAGTGATCGCATTGACTGTGGGGGGAGAGAAAGAAGACAGTGGCAGCGCTGGCTCCAAGGAGAGGGCAGGATGGAGGGAGTGTGGAGTTGTTGCTAATGCTCCGGGGGTCAGGCCAGGAGGGAACGTGTCTAATGGATGTGGGGCCGTGCAGGTCCCGGCCTTCGGGAGACCCTGTGGGCCATCGGAGCAGCCAGGATGGGGTGGGCATGGCAGGGCTGGTCACGAGTGAGGCTCTTAGAAACCGAGGCACTGGAGGCACAGGCTGTGAGTGCCCAGGCGGGAGGCCCGCCGCACCTTGGGGCGCCCATGGACGGCATCCTTAGTCCTGACAGAATGAAACACCTGGCATTTTTCGTTTTTGCCTTCTCTCACAGTGGGAAGCCTTCAGCCTTCCAGAACTGCAGAATTTCTTGCGTATCTTGGACAAGGAAGAGGATGAGCAGCTGTATAACCTGAAGAGGCGCTACACGGCCTACAGACAGAAGCTGGAGGCGGCCCTCAGCGAGGTGTTGAAACCCGGTTAAAGGCCGGCTCCCGGAGGCTCAGGGCGCGCAGGGACTGCGGACAAACCAGCAGCAAGTCTCTTCTCGGAGGGCTGTTTCCTGGCCCCGTGATGCGAGGGTCTTCCCCCTTTTATCTCTAGAGCTAGCTCTCCAAACCTGGGCCGCAGCCCCTGCGCCTGGCGACCTCTGTCCGGGATCCCGCGAGCTTGTCTGTTACAGCTGCGTGTCCCTCCCGCGAGCTGGGCCACGCGATGCTCGGAAGCATGGACTCTGGGTTTTGTTTTCTCGTCTTCTCTGTTATTTTAATTATTTGATGATGATGTTAAGCTTAAGGATGTGCAAATGATTTTTAAAAAGCTTAACAAGGAATCTTATCTGAATACTTGTCCTATGTTGAAACTACCTGTCTTTTTTTTTTTTTTTTTTTTCAATATCAGAGGGAACATCCATGTGAATGAAAGGCACAGGAAGCTGGGAACTCTGAGGAATTTGGGAGGGACTTTGGAGGAGCTTGACATTTCAGGAAAGTAAAGAGCAAGTTGGGAAGAAGGCTTGAGTGGAGTTGGAGGAGCTCTGAGTGAGGGTGGTTTGGGTGATGAGTTGATGGAGGAGAGAGAAAGGTATATTTGTTTGTCAAGGAGTTAAAAGCATTCAGTTTTGAAGTGTTAGACCCACTGTAGCACTGCTTGGTTTCTTAGTGAATAAAATATGAAAACAGCACCAAAGAAAGTAGGAGCTAGACCAAAGAGGGGGGTGGTGACTGAGGCCGACCGGAACGTTGTTGCATGCCATGCCGGCAGGTGATGGTCCAGAGCCGGGGAGGGGAGCCTGCCTTCCCGGGTCCTGCCTTCCCAGATTCTGCCTTTTCAAGTGGAAGGTGCAGCTTCCCTGGGCAGGTGGAGCAGGGACTGTGTGTAACTCCTGCTGAGTTATTGCTTTTCCCTGAGGTTGTTTCCAAAGCTGAAAAGGAGTCTGGGTAGGGCCCCTGTTTCTCCCGATGGTTGGCTGGGAGATTTGTTCAGGAAAGAGCTCACTGCACACTTTGTGACAATCACTCCTCCGTTTCCCTTTCCCTTCCCCTCCCTATCTTTTCCCTCCTTCCCTTTCCCTTCTCCCTTCCTCTTACCAATGGAAGTCCGTTCTGTGTAGTGGAGAACAGGGCTATGGATGAAAGACCCAATACTACCAGAACCTCGGTTCCGAGGAGGCCTTCACTGAGGAGGACGACAGCAAGAAGGGGGAGGGCCCTCCCCTGGCACCACAGAGGGGCAATTTATGGAAACATTTTATCAAAAGTGCATGTTCCTTCCGACCAAAGAAATGCATGTGCAATAGAAGCCTTCCTTAAAGCAAGTTAAATAACCTCATTTTATGCAGCAATTAATCTGAAAACAATGGGAAAGGTGTACTGTGGTTCTAGAGAGGGATTTACAGTCTATTTTTTTTTGTCTAGATATTTTTTGTTTTTATAAATTCCCAAGGAATTGTTAACGCTTTGGTGACACCTACTGGATTCTTTGTGAAATTCCAAGGTGCTTCAGCTCTTTGCCTTCTCCGCGAACTGTGCCTTTTAATGCATTTGTTTCCCTCCCGGGGGCTCTTCTGACTGTCAGAGAGCTCCCTCTCGGAGGCAGATGAAGTGCTGGCGATGCTGTGCCACACGTTACTGAGACAATCGTATCTTCCTAAGCTTTTCGAGGAAAGATGGAAAAAAAAGTAGAGCTAGCTATAAAATATGTATGGCACATCTTGTTTAATTTTGCATGTGACTTCTTTTTAGTGCATTGATGAGGTTTTAGTGTCATTGTCACCCAACACTTTATTGTTCAGGGAATGCCTTCACGGTTTTTATACTGGTTTTACTATTCAGACTGTGGCTTGGGTTTGAGTATAGTGTTATCAACCACCTGCTCTTTTCTCTACCCATCCCAGTAAGCTTATATTTTGTGAAGCATTTGTTTCTCAGATTAAGACACTGTTAGAACCTAATGTAGTAGCTGATGGGTATCTGAATTTTTTTTTTTTTTTTTTACTTGAAGTAGATTGTCTAAAGTAGGCACCCTCACCTGTATCATCCAGACCCTGTTTATTGTCGTGTGCACTACAAGTTGCAATTCGGAAAATTCTTACTGTTCTTGAAGATCGATGCTCTCTCCAAGACACTGGTTACTGCAGCGAGGTTAATGTGTAAAAGAAGGGCCAGTAAGGCCACTGATTTTTAAAAATCATTGTGCAAATTCTTATGTTAAATTATCTAAGCTTTGCTGTAATACTGTTTTCTCTTCACTATGTGATGGTACAGGAATGATGTCAAATGAAGGGGGGAAATATTGCAGGGGAGCATTGCAAATTACAGACATAAAAGTTATAATATTTATAATTTTGAGGAGTGTAAGTTTATTTTTATAGGGAACATTTTTCTTCCCTAAATTGTTTTTGGAATGGCAATTTGTTTCCATTATTAAAAGTCGATGTTGTCAGTTGACATTTGTGTGTTTTTACTTATGGTACTGCACCAGGTACAAGAAGGTCACAGGAGTGGGAGAAACGTCTTTAGCATATACGTGGGGACACATGCTAGAGGGTGACAGTTTTTACTAGGTTTGAGTGGGGCATATCTGTTCTCTCAAATGTCATTTTTCCTTTGTCTTATTGGGGAAAATAACCCTAGCTGAGTGTCTGCCCATATAATACACTAGTGGCCTGGAGCACAAAATTCGTGCACGGGGGAGGAGGTGTTCCTCAGCCCCGCCTGCACCCTCTCCAATCTGGGACCCCTCGAAGGTTGTCCTACTGCCAGTTTACAGGGATCAGGCCTAAACTGGCAGTCAGACATCCCTCTCACAATCCAGGACTGCTGGCTCCTAACCGCTCACCTGCCTGCCTGCCTGCCTGATTGCCCCTAACCACTCTGCCTGCC